ATCAGCTTGTTTAGGTTCTCCTGTGAGATCATGTGTAACATGATAAAAAATTTTAATTCTGTGCATTCTCTATCTAGATGCCAAGGAACTAATTATGAATATTAGGAGAAAGAAGCTTTCAAATTCAAAATTTACATTTAATCTAATCTTCTGTACACTTATGTATTCTCATTAAATATATTAATAATTCTCCACCTTAGTCTGGAGGAAGAAAACAACAACTGCCTAAGAATTTAACACTAGTCTTTATAAAATCATCATTTATACAACAGATTCTGGAAAATGGTTTTTACAGAGAATGTAAGTGAACTTTTAAAAGAGGTTCAGGAACTCAGCTGAAGACTGTTTGAAAAAAATCCCAAATGTGAACAAATAATTACTAACAAAATGCAGTGAATAATTTCTACTCACTTCATACTTATTATTATTTCATCATAAAACCAAGATCATGAGAAGAACATGAGTTTATATAGCTCAGATTTGAAACTATGTTCACGTACTTTGCAGATAATGAAATTCATACTTTACCCGGAAAAGAGCTGAGACAGTCTGGAAAGACGAACCCTTCTTCTTCCCACCCTTCTTTCCACCACCAGCACCACCACTACTAGACTCTTCAAAAGCAAAGAATTTTTTAATGTTGTCTTTTTTGTTACATCTTTAGATATCATAGATGTTGGAAAAAAAGATTAGAAAACTAACCTGTTTCAGCTCCACCATAGGAGGCAAAAAGTAAAGCCAATGTCTTCACAGATGATTTCTGGTACAACCCAATGACAGTTTCATTCAGGGGGTCTTTGTTCTTCTCAAGCCATCCAGTGATATTGTAATCCACTGTACCAGCGTAGTGCACCAGGGAGAAGTGGGCCTCAGCCTTGCCTTTGGCAGGCTTGGGCTTCTGGAAGTTGCTGGACTTGCCCAGATGCTGATCATAGAGCTTGTTCTTGAAAGAGGTGTCAGTTGCCTTGGGGAACATGCACTCCTCTTCCAGGATGGAGAAGATGCCCATGGGCTGGAAGATAGTACAATAAAGAGAGAATGCCTGTAGAGTAATACGATCATGGCTCGGTCTTAAAGAGAATATAGTAAAAGACAGGAAGCTGATAAACAAACAAATACGCTTGCCATGAAGAAAAATTCTTTCTAAAATATTAGATTAAAAGATTCGTGTGTTTTACTTACACTGTGGGACAGTGATTCAGGAATGACTTTATGAAAAAAAAATGTTACAAATGAAGGAGAGAAAGATTATATTTTAAAATATCTTTCATAAAGGTGTCCATTGCATATTTACTTCATTTTCTATACTTTTAATCAACTCCCTAAATTATATGGAACTACAAAAAAATTCTTTCAGTTTCATCCACTCACAGGTCATGCACTGACTGTACTGGTCTGTACTTACTTTGCTATAAACCATGTAGAAAAAAGTATTGTCCAGGTTACTTTATTACAGAAATATAAGAAAACATTTTTATTTCACTTGTAAGCTGTTCTGTGCTTTTGGAAAAAAAAAAAAAAATCTTTTAATCAAACAAGTGGCGTTACCTTCCACACAGAGCTGTGTGAGGAATACCTTTCATAGTTATCTGTGGACTTCATTGTAACTCTAATACATAACAAGCATAATACTTACCAAGAGATATTTCAACAACTAAAACCAAATGTATGAAACTAACCACGAGAGACCTTTCTTTGAATAACATTTAAACTTTTTCAATTTAAAATTCTTGAAAATACAACATAATGTAAATTAAAAATTTACTTTCTCAATGAGCTCAATGCAGGCAGCCAGGTCCATCCCAAAGTCAATGAATGTCCATTCAATTCCTTCCTTCTTGTACTCCTCCTGCTCCAGCACGAACATGTGGTGGTTGAAGAACTGTTGCAGTTTCTCATTGGTGAAGTTGATGCACAGCTGTTCCAGGCTATTGAACTTTCAATGGAAAAAATACCCATCATCAACATTCACAGTTCTTGATCGTTCTCAACCCTTTCTAAAGCTCCCCAGTTAAAACACAACTGTTTTAGCATGACTACACCATGGCAGGACCTCTATGCAGCTCCCCAAACAAAACCCACCTGATTAAAATCAAAATTTTTTCAGAGCAGATGTTCCTAGTGAATCTCCTAGAGTTCATTGAGTACTTCGGCATATTTTCATTCAGCCCAAAAGAAGAGTGTATGTCTTGGTCTCCAATTTTTAAATGATGTCTTTGATTAAACACTTACCTATTAATTTCTTGGTCCTTTAAACAACTTGCACATCTTCAACCTGTTTTATGATTTTCAATGGATCTCCAAATTCTAGTTTTGCTCTAGGAGCTCTTATATAAAACTTTTGTAGTTAAGTTGGGTTATTTTAATCATTAACATTAAGATCAAACTGTTAAAATATGACAACATATACAATTCTATTTGCTACTTCACAAAAAGCATAACTATGTTCTTGTACTGATGAGGCTTTTGAGGATTTTGCTCAAAAGAAGATGAAGGATGTTTTTCCAGAAAATTGCAAATGACCAACATGTTAAACCTGCAGAAGAGTATTACTTGAAAGTCCTCTGATATAGCAGTCTTCCCCTGTAAGATCAGTCCTCAAACCTGGAGTCCTTACATCAAAGATCTCAAAGCCAGCAATGTCCAGGACACCAATGAAGTACTGTCTGGGCTGCTTGGTATCCAGCTGTTGGTTGATACGAACAACCATCCACAGGAACATCTTTTCATAGACAGCCTTTGCGAGGGCACCTACTGAATTGTTCACCTAAAGAAGAAAATGAAAACAGTATCTGGAGCAAATAATAAGGGATAAAAGTCAGAGATTCCCAGTCACCAACTGGTTGTTACCTGTTGCACAGTTTGACCTTTGGTCACATATTCATTCCCAACCTTTACTCGGGGGTAGCAGAGGGCCTTGAGCAGGTCTGCTGAGTTGAGACCCATCAAGTAGGCAGCTTTGTCAGCGACTAAGTACAAGGACAAGAAGACAGAAAAATTAAGACCAACAAGACATACAGCACTTTGAGTAAAGAACCCTTTCCCAAGCAATATTGAATTTCTGAGTTCAATATTGAATTTCCAAGTGCAATATTCAATGTCGTCATAAAATTCTGTTTACTGGATCTCAGAAGAAGAATGACAGCCATTAAAAGAAAATCAGCTTTGCTTTGAAACTTTTTAGGGCAGTACACCTAAATGCTATTTTTGTTTTCATAGAAGAATCTAGGAAGAATGTATTTATTAAAAAATCATCCTGAGCGGTGAAGTTCAACACTTCAGTCCAGAGCTAATTAATAGCTGTAAGCCAGGCAACAAACCACCAAAGTGTTAATAGGTTGGCCATCTGGGTGTAGTCCAAAATATACATTTATTTACTTGAGCTACCTGTGTTCTTTGTCAGCAGCTATAAACCTAAAGGGGAATGCATTCCAAAATTAGAGGTAAAAATTAAGAACTGCCCCTTTCTGGAGACTTATTGTTATGTCATAGCAGAAAGGCATATTCATTCCTTCAGGATCAAATCCTAAAATTCTGTTTTGAATCTGTTCATCTGAAAGCATTGGCTGGAAGAAGTTGACAAGGCTTATTAATTTTAAACTTTGTATACATTATACAACATTTAACTGGTTAAGTAATCAACTGAGAAGCAGAAATCTAAGTCAGTTGTTCTCTAGCACAGTGTACCTATGCTTCACTTAGAATGAGGTACAAATAATACAAGTGTGTAGTGACAGTTATGGGTTTGAATCTCCAAAGGTGAAGAAAGAAATTGAAGGAATGTTACCTTTATCTGGGCAAAATTTCAAAATAACATGTTTTATGAAGGAGAAGTTCTAATGTTGAACTTAATACCTCCATTTTCTTTAAAAAAGCAACCAGAAATATATTTTCTGAAAAATATTTCTTTTCTCAGAAGCTTTTTAATTTAATCCCACTGAGCAGGCTGGGCTATCCAGAACTGTGGTAGTCCCGGTAAGGATTATGACACATAGGCAATTTTTACCTCAAATAAAGACTAGGTAGTAACTGAAAAAAATTGTGTATTTTTCATGGCAGTTTAATGCCCATATACTAGCTCACCTAAGCACTTTTTACACATATCTACCGTTCTCTTTCTCCATCTTCCAAATAATGAATTTTTATTACTACTTCTACTTATAACAAGTCAGCCACAGACTTTGCTAATACCTTCTGTGCCATCTGGCTCTGCCTGCTCCTCTCGTTGTTTCTGCTTAAACTTTAGGTTGCCATAGTGCATGACAGCTCCTGTCAGCTTGTAAATGGCTGTTTTTTCATCAGCAGTGAACCCCAAGATGTCAATAGCACTCTGCAAGAGGAATAATGAAATAAAAGCTTTGTTTGGGAGAGATGACAATAGGTATAACATTTTTAATTGTTACTTACATCTGTAGCCATCAGCTCCTCCTGGTCATTAATGCTGGCAACAGTGATCTCACCTTGACTCACAAATGAGTAGTCATATGGGTTGGTGGTAATGAGAAGCATGTCTGAAAGTAAGTAGATGGGACATGCAGGCAAGTCGAGCAAGTAAAAGTGTGAGATGATGTTCAGCAATCTTCCTCCAGCGTAGTCGTTCTCCTTACCTATGAGCTCTGGTTTCTTGTTGGACATGATCTGATAAAATATGTGGTAGCTTCTTTCTGCCTTGAGCTGGAAAGTGACTCTGGACTTCTCCAGCAGATCTGGAGGCAAAATTTAACCAGAAACAACAACAACAACACCCAACCAACCAACCAAAACAAAAAACCCAACCAACCAACCAAATAAACAAAAAAAATAAAATAAAAAAAAAAGAAAGTAGGTAGAAGATGGGAAGAAAACCAGCAAAGGCAGCGTAGATGGTTGGGTGAAAAAGTTTGTGGATAAAAGGGTGAATGGATGGATTGTGAAAAGTTCAAGAAAGTGTCTTACATGTTTCAATATCAGCAGAAGCTAGTTTTCCTGTGGCACCAAAGTGAATTCTGATGAATTTACCCTTCAAAGGAATAGAAGTGTCTTAAGATTTACATCATAAAAATATATCTGAAATGAAGAGTTCTGCCATTTACTCCACTGGGCAGAAGATTTCTACTTAGATATATTTTCTTAAGAATCAGCTATAATTCCACCATTGACATAAAATCACCTTTTACATTTTTGTCCATGAAAATAATCAACAGCACCACAGTTGTATATTTTATACGTTGAATTTAAAAATGAGAAGGAATGGGTGGATTTCATTGCCCAAAATTTTCTAACTATATTCTTCATACAGGGAGCCGCCACTTTAATGACATGGAAATAGCCATTTAGCTAGTTCAGCTGCTTAAATCTGTCTTGCTATCAAATAAGCCATTTCACTTTGATTAATTAAATATGACATAAAGCAACTATATTATTCAAATAGAAACTCTCTCTCTCCCCACCCCCCACTGTTCCTTTCACCCTCTCCCTCCTTCTTCCACTCCCATCTCTCTCTCTCGCTCTCTCTCCATCTTTCATTCTTCCTTTTCTTTCTCCACCTCTCTCTTTCTCATCTTTCATAAAATCACAGAATTGTTTAGGTTGGTAGGAACCTTAAAGACCATCTAGTTCAAATGTCCCTGATGTGGGTAGGGACACCTTACACTAGACCATGTTCCTCGAAGCCTCATCCAGCCTGACCTTGAACACTTCTAGGGATGGGACAGCCACAGTTTCTCTGGGCAACCTATTCCAGTGCCTTACTACCCTCTCCAGGAAGAATTTCTTCCTCTTGTTCAATGTAGAACTCCTGGCTCTCGATTTAAACCTGTTACCACTTGTTCTATCACTACATGTAACCACCCTTGCTTTCTTCTTGACATTTTGTCTGTCTGTCTCTTAGCTGTTCTTAAACCATGTAATATATTATAGCAGAAATTGCATGTGATCTGTTGTTTTAATTTGCTTATCAATACAAAACAGATTTACTTTTGTTTATGGAACAACTGGTTTTGAAATCTGGAGAATTACTTTGGGGATAAGTGGTTAGTCATTACAAGAAATTTCAGTCTTACTCTTGAAAAACACAATGCCTGAACAACAGAAAAGTATGACTGCCATATATCACTGTACACTATTTTTTGAGGAATCATTTGATTAAACAACTTACAAAGCGTGAGGAGTTGTCGTTCCTCACTGTCTTGGCGTTTCCAAAGGCCTCCAGCAGCGGGTTGGCGCTGATGATTTGGTCCTCAAGCGTTCCCTGAAGGATTGTAATTATTGCTGGTTCTCATTTCCAAGAATGTCAGGAACAACGAAAAACATTGATTCAAGTTATTTTCTAGTAATTTGCCTGCATTTTGCCAGACTGCTCCTCTTTCTTCTTATCCCCACTTGCTGCAATTGTTGCAAAGTACTGGATGACACGCTTTGTGTTCACAGTCTTCCCTGCACCAGATTCTCCACTGTCAGAACAAAGAGAGAAGCAGAGAATGTGTGGTCAGGCAGGGTGTCCCCTGGCAACTGGCAGTCCTGCAGGGACCCAAGAGGAGAGTGTACATACGTGATGAGGATTGACTGGTTCTCACGATCTGTGAAAGAAGCAGAAATACAGTACCTCAAACTCAATGAACAAAACAGAAATAATGAAATGTAGTCAGGTACATTTAACATTTTGAACTCCATTATGTCACAGTGACAAAAACACCCAAACCAAACCAAACCAAACCAAACCAAACCAACCAAACCAAACCACACCAAAACAAAACAAGACAAAACAAAACTAAAGTGAAAAACCTCCACAGCACCTCTGTGAGTGCAGGGCTGTCTTTTACTTAAAATTGAAGAAACAATCATGTGAAGATATTAAAATGCACAATAGTATGCATCAGAACCATGAAAAGCTTTGAAAAAGTCTCCTCATATCACTAAGACAGAGTATCCCTCCAGAGAATTTCCTGGTACAATCCTTTTGAGACAGATGGAGCTGCTCACCAGTCAGCATGAACTGATAGGCATTGTCAGAGATGGAGAAGATGTGTGGAGGGGCCTCCTGGCGCTTCTTGCCTCGGTAGGCCAACACCACCTCGGGGTTGTACACTGGCAGCCACTTGTAGGGGTTGACAGTGACGCAGAAGAGACCCGAGTAGGTCTGTGAGAAAGGGAGACAGCACGTTGGCTTCCACTTAGCCTGGCAGAGCAGTTCCTCCTAGCTACCCAACAGAAGACCAATGCTGGTACTTACGTAGATCATCCAGGCTGCATAACGCTCTTTGAGGTTGTACAGCACAGCGGGTTCGTGGAGGTGGGTCATCATGGCCATGTCCTCGATTTTATCATACTTAGGAGGATTCATGGCAAAGATTTGATCTTCCTTCACTGTCAGAGTCTGGAGGAAAAAGGAAATACATACATGTCAGCTAAGAGCGGAAAGCAGAAATCAAATAGTGACCTGGAGTGTTGTTTCTTACTCACCTCTCCACCTTCAGTCTTGACAGTGACCTTCCCTGATTCCTTGCTTTGGATTGTCCCTTTCACAAAGGATTCCTTAGGATGCACCACAAAGACGGATGTCTTGGCATCAAAAGGCTTGTTCTGAGCCTCGATTCTCTCCTTTTCTGATTTCCGGAGGTAAGGAGCTGCCTCCCCAAAGACAGCCATCTCAGAGTCTGATGACATGGCTGCACTTTATGGAGGGGTCTTCTCAACAGCAATAACCTGGGAGGAACAGATATGTTGCTCAAATATGTCAAAAATTAAGCACTTGTTAGTAGAAGAAAAAATGGGGAAAGATCCTATATTAATAATATTCATAGGGTTTTTTTGAAGTAATTGTTTATTTTCACATTCGTGTGATTCAACATTTATTGAAAATGTGAGAATCATACTCTGGAAGATCATTTGGCTTAGGGTCTACTGTAGTGAAATTGCATTTGTAATAATCCACTGTCAATTAGTAGTCAAGTATTTAGGCATTGTATTGTGGTGTTAGGAACCACAAAATTCCTTTCAGCTGTTTAGGCACTCTTTTAAGATTCACTTGAAATTATTATAATGTAGTTTCTTCCCAAGTGATACTAATTCTGAAAGCTCAGAAGGTTCATACATCACTGTGTCAAGTGGCATACATACAACGCAAGCATCTTAATAGCTCAATTTCAGTCACTAAAACATTGTATCATTTTATTAATGAAACTATTATTTTAGTGAGTTCTTTAATCCAGTCATAAATAGCTACAATGTCTGTCAAAAGAAGAGCAATGCTGTTCCAAACACACTAACATAGGTCCATTTCTACTATTGCCTTTTACATTAAAAAAATAAAAAAAGAGAAAGTTTTAGAAGAAAACAAAGTTAAACACAAGCATTTGAAGCTCAACTCAGGAATTTAAAAAATAAGGAATTTTAAAACTAGTATTATCTTATGTGATTTTTAAAACATTTATTTCCCAGAAAAAAAACGTGGACAGCTTAGAAATTATTTATTTATTTTTATCCTAGAGAGACACACCCCTTATATACATGATATTTTTAATATTATATTTGTACAAAAATGAGAGAGTAACATTATAATTCTTTATTTCTTCCTACAGTAACAGGTGGTGACTTACAGAAGAGGAGGGCTACAGGTTCCGTTTTTTTGTGAAACAGAGAACAGGCAGAGTAGTAAGGGGAACAAACAACAGTGTTCAGTTTTACAGAGATGACAAGCAGAGCTTCATTGCTTGAGTTACAGCTCTTTCTACTCTTACTTCTTTAGTAATTTTGTGTCAAATTTTGGATAAAATAAGACTTTCATTCAAATGCTGGGAAGCCAGCATGCCTCGCCTCTTGTTAGGTCAGTTAAGCAGAAGTGAAGAATATCTCCACGGGGATTTTCTGGTCTGCCATCAGTGGTCAGAGACCTCAAACAGAGCCACTTAAAGACTGGACCAGATGATCTTTTACGGTTCCTTTCAGCCTGGGCTGTAACTCACTTGAAACCTTACCAGCCTTGGTCACTGCTCCACCTTCTACTGCAACCACACTGGGTTTGAAAATATAGGGTAAAACAGTGACTCAGCCATTCAGAAATCCCACCCAAAAGAACCTTTCTCTGCCCTCTAAGAATTAAT